GAGCCAGGAAAGAAAGCAACAGGAGTCAGGTTACATGGCACCCAGGGCTCCATTATTGTGAGCTGAGTCTGTTACAGAGAAGTATGGGATGTACTCTTCTTTGAGTTCCTAATCCCAGACAAACTTTCCATAGCAGTGGCTGCTGTTAGAAACCATGCACACTTCTCCCTGATCGACCATTCACTCCTGTGTTCATTTGTTTGTTTACTCATTTGTTCCCTCGTTGCTGTCATACAGTTAGAATAAAACCTGAAGTCCTCATCATGGCTTTCCAGGCTCCTGGCAGCTTCTCCAGCCTCATTTCTTACCACTCCCCCCTCAGTCTGATTTCTGTCTACTCATCACACACATCAAACATCCTTGAGTTTCGGGGTCTTTGCACTTGTTAGGAGGACTTACCTGCTCCACACATCTCTCATGCTCCAGCAGGCTAACCTGGGCTTGCTTTCATGGTAACCTAGCAAGTTTCTGAGAGAGAGAGAGAGGACCAAGGCCATCAAAGGCCTAGGTTGGGAACTGGCACTTGGTCACAGCTTTCACATCTTACTGGCCAGAGCAGGTCACAGAGAAATGGGGATGGGGAAAATGCCAAAGGCTGTATGGTGGAGAGACTTAAGAGTGGCTGCTGTAACCCCTGCCTTCTGTTGTCCATGACCTCGTATAATCCCTCCTTGAGGGTGAGCTGGACCTGTGCTTCTATCTGTATGAGAGACTATGATAAAGGTAATGGAACATCACTCTTATGATTAGATTACATTACATAAGACTCTCTTAGCAAATGGGGTACTAGAGACCCTCCTTATGAGCTCAATGAAAGACGAAGCCATGTTGGAGAAGGTTGTATGTCAAGGAACTGTGAAAAAACTCTAGGACACTGGGGTGTCCCCAGCCAGCATGGAGCTGGGCCTTTAGTATAGCCACAGGAAATGAACTCTGCTGAGAACCTGAATGAACCTGGAAACAGATTTTTCCCCAGCCGAGCCTCCAGATGATGATGCAGCCTTGTGATATCCCAAGCAGAAAACTCAGTCCAGACTCCTAGATATGGAAAGTCTGAGATAATAAATGTAATAAATAATAAATATTGTTTTAAGCCATTAAGTTTGGAGTAATTTGTCATGCAACATAGAAAATGAATGAAGTCTGGGTTCAGCTGATAAACAGTAGCTGAGAAGTGGAGTGTCCTTAAAGGAGTCTAATGGTTCTTTCTGACTTTACCTGGGAACCCAGGAGCCCTGAACAGATGGGTTGTGATGGACCATGTTTGCCTGGTATTGGATTTCTCATGTGAACTGACCTACCTAAAATTCTAGTGTGTGAACACATAGAAAGACAAACTGTATTGATGGGTGGAGCCCAGGATGGCTGTTCCTTGTAGAGTGGGACATAGTACATACACACTCAGACCCAGTTTTTCAATGGAATCTCTAGGGGTGATGTGACTGGGATATAGTATTAATTCCATTAACTTGGAGCTATGAGAGGAAAAGAGACTTGTCTCAAATTAGTGATAAAAGCAAATATTAATAAAGTTTTAAAAATAAGTTCTATCTTGTCACTGTCAAGCAGTTAAAAGAAGATGCAGTGGTTAATGTATTCTTGTTAGATATGCTTTTATGATTAGGGAGGTAAACCTTGTAATTAGCATATTAATTGCTGATATTAAAGTGATAGCTTGAAGATTTTAGTTTGAAAAAGATTAACATTATCACAGCCTTCTTTGTATTATCAATTCGTGTTTTGAGAGACAGAGGTAGTACAATGGTAAACAGCACAGCCCCTGTTTAAAAGTCACAAACAACAAGTGAGCTGGATGCAAGTGATCAAATTTTTACTCTGCTCAGATGACATACCTGAAGCACTCAGGTGACAGAAAAAGGAAGGTCATGATCATGTTTGTCAACTGAAGCCATGGGAACAGCACTTGTCCCACAGCTCCGCTGGGCTGCCTGCCCTGGTGGGATTTAATGTTTTGTCTTCCTCTATCTGGAAAGTCCTCAAAGAACAGTTAGCAGTTTATGTAGGATGTGGGATACTGGGGCAGCAAATGGCATTGGTTTATCAAATTTTTTGAAAGTTTGATGCAAAACCCACGTCAGGAAATTGGCAATTGGAATTATGTGGTTGCATTACTTGATGACATCATATTATTTGATAAAAAGCAGAGACACTACTTTGCTGACAAAGGTCAAAGCTGTGGTTTTTTTTTTCCAGTAGCCATGTACAGGTGTGAGAGTTGGACATAAAGAAGGCTGAGCGCCAAAGAATTGATGCTTTTGAATTGTTGTGCTGGAGAAGACACTTGAGGGTCTCTTGGACAGCAAAGGAGATTAAACCAGTCAATCCTAAAAGAAATCAATCCTGAATATTCATTGGAAGGACTGATGCTGATGCTCCAGTATTTTGGTCACTTGATGTGAAGAGCTGACTCACTGGAAAAGACCCTGATGCTGGGAAAGATTGAAAGCAAGAGGAAAAGGGGCTGGCAGCGGATGAGATGGTTAGATAGCATTAGTGACTCAATGGACATTAATTTGAGCAACTCTGGGATACAGTGAAGGACAGAGAAGTCTGGTGTGCTACAGTCCATGAGGCTGCAAGAGTTGGACATGACTTGGTGACTGAACAACAGCATTACTTGGTGAAGACAGACAGCATGTGGATTCTGGATTCTGGGCCTGTGTTTCCTCTCCCTTCTTCTACTGTCACTCCAGAAACTGCAGAGCTGATGGAGAGCACCCTAGAAGGCTGCTGCGGAGGAGAGAGTGATGCTTTTCCCTCCAAAGTCCAAGGCAGTACTTTCCCCTGGTGGAGGGTCCAGACCTCAACCCCGGCAGCCAGAATGGCAGCCCAGGGGCCTGACATGAAGGAGAAAAACCTTGGGTTTTGTAAAACTTGGCCCAGGACTGCCTTTCCTTCCAGGAAACTACTTCAGAGCTCATGGCGCTGAACTGCTGATGAAATGCTTAGGTCTGCCCAGAGAAGAGAGGGAAAGGAGGCCAGAGAGGGTGTCAGTCCAACCTAGATGCCCTTGGGAGGCTGGCAGCCTGCTCAGCACAAACCTGCCTCTCTTGCAGAAATCTCCCTTGCGTCGCTGTGGCCCTCAGGCCTCTCTGTCATCGAGGTCCTCAGCCAGGGCAGAGTTCAGCACCGCTCAGGGCTGGGTTCCAGTCCAGAAGTCAGCTCTGGCATCCCGGACCTGCTGTGCCCGCCTTGCAGTGTGACCCTCAGTTAGGCATCTGAGCAGCTCTGGGCTTCAGGTTTCTCTCCCACCTGTAGGACACATCCTGTTCTCGTGTGGCCCTGTGTGTGGCATCGCAGCAGAATCTCATAACCAAGAAGAAACCTAATTTTTCTGTGTCTTACATGAAGGAGATTTATTTGGCTGCTTGTGAAAGACTCCAGACAACAGTAACTTGAACACAACCAAAGTTTCTTTCCTTTTGATGGCAAAGCCTGAAGGAAGGCCCTTGAGGGCCGTGTGAGGGCTCCAGGCCACCTGCTCAGCTGCCCAGAGGGCGTGGTTTTGAGCCTCAAGGTCCGAGGTGAGCTTCTGCTGTCTTGCCCATGCCCCCAGGGCAGGATGGAGGAAGAGGAGTGGGGGGGGGATGGGGGGTGGGGGGAGGAGAGACATGACCCCCCCCCACCCTTTAAGGGATCTTGCCGAAGAAACCACACTCATCCATTCCTCACTCTCCACTGGCCAGCAGTCACCTGGCTACAGGAAGACAGGGAAATGTGGTCTCAAACCCAAATATCAGCAGATCTACGGTTGTGAGAGAAAGAGTGAATGATTATTAAGGGGATAGCAATGAGCTTTTGACATTTATTTTTATTAGCCTTTCTATATTGATTTTTAAACTTGAAAATACTTGCTTACAACATATCAAGCAGTGCAAAGATACACACACACACACACACACACACACACACACACACACACACATGAGAGTATGTATATATTCCGCTCCTCCCCCTCCCCCACCCCCCCACCGCCCTATAAACTCTAGGACTTCTTGGTGGCTCAGATGGTAAAGAATCCACCTGCAATGTAGGAGACCCTGGTTCAATCCCTGGGTTGGGAAGATCTGCTGGAGAAAGGAATGGCAACCCTGCCTCCTCTCTGGCAACCACAGAGGAGCCTGGTGGGCTACAGTTCATGGGATGGCAGAGTCAGATGGACTGAGCAACACTTAAGCTTTCACATAAACTCCAGGCCCCTGAAGTTGGATATATATTCTTTCATGTCTTTCTTGATTGACATGTAAAATATACAAATATACAAACATATATACAAATATACAAAAACAAATACACAAATATATAAAATATACAAACCTTTCCCCACATTTATTATTTTTTAAAATGAGAACTGCATTTTAGAGATAAAACATATTTTTCCAAATATGTAGTTTGCTTGTTTCCAATACATAACAATTTTATTTTAATCATTTTATTGGAAATTATATGTGGCTCTAACTTGTTCTTTATAATAACTGCATAATCGCTTATAGTATGGATTTCATAGTTGAATGCACTGTAATTTCTTCTGCCATTCCCCGATAGAACATATAGATTATTTCCTTTTATTGTCACTGTAAATAATGTTGCAAGAAACAACCTTCTACACTGTTCTCAGGTGTCTTTCTGTAAGATGTTCGATCAGAGGCCTGCAGTGAATTCCTCTTGCTCACTTCCTGAAGACTCCTAATTTGCAGGTGGGTGCGGGGCAGGGAGGGGCTGGTCTCAGCCTTCAGCCCCCTTTCACAGACTGGGGACTGAAGTACATAGCTCTAGCTTGTGAGTGACAGGACGGAGTCTTGAGCTCAGAAGTGACCCCCTCCTCGCGCCCCCAGTAAAGACCCCTGCTTCCCCTTCACTGCCAGGGGGCTCCCGCTTCTCTAAGGAGGGGGAGAGACGCGGGGACAGCCAGCTAATTCTTTAGCCACCTCAGCACTTTGCGGAGCATCCTGTTTTTGTGTTGGGGTGCGTCGGGGAGGATGGGTGACCTAACTTCAGGTCAGCCGGGCAGCCACACCCCCTCAAAGTCACTTCCTCGATTCCTGGAATCCCCACTGCCGAGGTTTCTAGCTCCTGGAAGGATGCAGCGCACCCCTCTCGAACCTGAGGATACACACAGTGTGCCCTTGACCCATGACATACAGCGACCACAGCAGCCACCGAGAATGGGACCCCTTCCCTTCCCCACCTGGCTGGAGGGAAGAGGGCAGTTTCTTCCATCTCCAGGGACTCTGTGCATCTTGTGTCTTCGAGCCAAGTCATTGCCATCACTGTCCTTGGACAAATCAAAGTCGTTAGCTCTGAAAAACTCCAGTTCAAGAAAGAGCCTTCCTCACTCCACTCGGGCCTGTCAGCTCTACCTGATAACGTGAAGATTCTCAGTTCTTCTCAGCCTGGGCTTAGCAGTCAGCCCAGCCCAGAAACGGGACAGGAGCCAGCCCCACACTGTTGCTGTTTTTTAGCCCCTAAGTCGTGTCCGAGACTTTTGCAACTCCATGGACTGCAGCCCACCAGGCTTCTCTGTGGATTTCCCGGGCAAGAAGACTGGAGTGGGTTGCCATTTCCTTCTCCAGGGAATCTTCCCAGCCCAGGGATCGAACCCGTGTCTCCGGCATTGGCAGGCAGATTCTTTACCTCTGAGCCACCGAGGATGCCCAGCCCCACACTGCTTACCTTTTATCTGCAAGTGGCTTTCACAGTATAGGACATTTTGTTTTCATCAGCCTACCCTCTGTTACTCAGGGCCATATATTTAGCTGTTGCTTTTCTCACGTTTTGGAAGTGCTGATTTTGTGCTTTTCAGAGTGAAGATAGAGGCTAGAAGCATCTTGATTTTGCTTTTGCATCTTGTATGTTTGATTCAGCAGTCTGAAAGCTGTTGCATGTAAGGATGTTTCTGAGTTTGGAAAAGGGGAACAAGGCTCTGCGGGAGAGCCCTGGGTGGTGGGGCAGGGTAAGGGGAGAGCCTGTCTTGCCCTTTTAAGTAGCGGGGTTGCGAGCCCACTGCAGGGCAGTGACTGTCTCCTCTTGCTTCCGAGTCCCCAGCACTTGTGTGAGGTCTGCCCTGGAAAGTGCTTGATAAATAGAACTGGGCAAATGCAGGCAGAAGCTGAGCTCAAAGGTGGGCCCCAGGCCAGGAATGACTGTGCCAGTCTTGGGGGAAGCCAGTGTCTTGGGGGTGGGGGATCCAAGGGTGGCTAGAGCCCAAGCAGGAGGGGACCCCCCACAGCTCTGCTGTAGCCCTTGGAGCAGACTTCCTGGGGACTCGCATGTTGGTACCACAGCTTTCCAGGCTGGGCCTCGCTGGGCGGGGAGGCTGCAGGATGTACCAGGTGAGTAGCTGTGCCCAGTGGCAGTCCTGTGTGCTCCAGGGTGGTGAGCAGGGAGCCCTCCTCCTGCGAAGCTCTCTGGGCGGTTTATTTCTGCAGCATCAGTTCTGTTCTGGGGGCTGAAATCCCCTGGCCAGGCATAGCAACAGTCACCAAGAGGAACAAACAGCAGAGGAAGCCTGGGTCATAGCTGACTCCCTTTTGTGGGAATGGCTCTGAGGGAGGCATGTCAGCCCCTGCAAGATGGTCTTATGTGGGTGGGTGGAGGCAGGGAGCTGACCAAGGACCCTTGGGAGGGCCGTGCACAAGGAGAGGAGCACAGCTATTTGTTCTGTGTAATTAGATTGAGCTAATTTCCTTCTGTGGCACAGAGCCGGAGAGTGAGGGTTCTCAAAAAATGTTATCTTATCTCATTTTGTGTAATGTCATCATGGCACAGCTGGAATGGGAAGAAAGAACATTTTTGAGACGTTCCTGGTCCTCTTCATGAATTGCATTCTGTACCTTTGGCGTTGAAGTCAGTCTGATGCTGAGGTCTCCAGGAGCCCAGGGCAGATGCAACACTGTATTTATGTAATCAGCCCACAGACATACAGGAAGGCACTCTTTCTGGATAAATCTAAGGCCTGAGTGAGGGAGGCTGAGAGATCAGACAAGGCAGTCCCCTGGGCCCCAGCATCTCTGCTCAGGAACCTGCCACAGCTGCTGACCTAGGTTTGTCCCAGAGGGGAAATGAGAGAAACAGAGAAATAAACCTGGGGCAGCTGAGTTCCCCTTTGAGTCACTGTCCTGGAGTGACTCTGAAAGGGGGCAGCCCTTTGAGATGGGGCCGAAAAACGTCAGGGAACAAAGGAGAATGACCGTGTAGTTCTTTTCAAGATGGGAAAATGAGACAGAGGACGTGGGCTGGGATCCTGGGCAGGCACTGGCGGGCACTGCCTTCACCCACGCAGTCTCTCTCCCCGCTAACTCTCTGGCTGCTGTCTTCATGGGGCGCCAGCCGCTGTTGGACACGGATGCGTCCTCCAGGGCACTTTGCCTGGGGCTGCCCTAGAAGGACAGCCTGGCTGGAGGGACTGATGGCTGTGCCTCAGCCCTTCCCGATGGCTAGATGCTGTGATGGCCCCTCAGAGCCTCTGTTCTTGCCCGCCTGCCCTCTGGCTCTTGCAGTGACATGGGACCCCGGCAGGCTGGGCTCCGAGCACAGTGGAGCTCAATGGAGAGCTCTGAGCTCTCCCCCCAGGGGTAGGTGTCTGGGGGTGCTGCAGTTTGCTGTGCTAGAAAGATCAATGATGGATCCAGATCTTAGGAGTGGACGGGCCACCAGGAGATACCTCCAGCTTCCTGAGGAGGGGGTTTCTGTGTCTCTGTTGAGGACGACACATGGCATTTTGTGATGTGCTGGTGTTTCTCCTCATGACCACATGGGCCCCTGTGGCCACCACAGGCTTGTGTCACCAGGAAGACTGCCCGTCTAGCTCCTTCCTCTCCCTCTGCTCCCATGTCTCTCTGCCAGGTCATCAAACCACTGGCCCCTCGGAGTCTGGATTTCACAGAAATGTATGTGCATACGGCTCAGGACTGGAAGGGACCTCTGGAAGTAGTTGATTTTTCCATCACTTTCATGTACATTTGCTCATTTCTTTATAAGGACTGCCATCCACCCAGTGGACAGCACAGACAGGGACATGGGCACCAAGGTCTGGGGAGCATCATGACTTACTGAAGGTCATGCCGACTCTGATCCCTGCCCTTCCTGGAGCTGCAACCCCCCGGGCCTCCTCATCCTCTCCCTCCTCCTTGGACCAGCCCCAGCTCTGGTGGCCCCATCATAGCTCAGTCCAGCCTTGGCCGACCCTGGACAGGGCTGTGGGGGCAGCAGTCCTGCTCGGAGCCTCCTGACTTGAGCAGGAGTTTGAGCAGCAGCTGGTTCTCTTGAGCCCTGTCCCGGCTGGTAAGTCTGGAGGCCTTTGTATAAATGCCCCACCATGGGGTCCAGTACAGGAGCAGCTCAGACACAATCTGGAATCATTCTTGGTCACAGCTCATCCATGGCAAGCCTGAAATGGCTGAGTACATGTGAAGCCCTGGTTGTGGCCCTAAGGGTGGCTAATGACTCATGGGGTTATTTCATCTCAGAATCTGCACTCTTTTTGGTCCATATGTCTGGTGGCCCATATGCCCGGGACTCTGATCAGCCTTCACACACAGACTCTCCCACAGACCTCAATTCAGTGAGGTTTGTGTGCTCTGGACCCCTCCTAGAACAGTTTTCAATGAGAGGATGAAATACCCCAGACTCTACAAGGGAAAAGGCTGTGTCTTGGGACTCCACACCATGGGTGTCCACAAATCCCAGAGGAAAGGAAGATCCCTCGTTCCTCCAGGCCAGGTCACAGCTGACCATCTGCCCCTTGTGGTCTGATAGGTATTTAGTTAGTTCAACCTCAGCCAGTCTTCTCTGCCGCCCCCCTGACCCCTGGGAGGCCAGATAAATGGTGACAAGAAAGTGAGAGTCCGATGTGTTTTTGAAGACCTATTCTGGGCAGGAGGACACAGATGAAGGACACTGGTTTGTGGTGATGCTTCCTGGTGCCACTGGGAGTGAGCCATCCAGCTGAGGGACAGTGATTAGGGCCAAGTCCTAGGGGGAGCACAGAAGGGGCAGCCAAGAGAGCTGGGGAGAGAAGCAGCTGAGGAGCGAGGAGCTTCTGCCAGGCGGGGAAGGGAGCGGGGCGGGAGGGGTGGTGGCTGTGCTGTCTGGGCTGCAGATGGATGTAGGGGCCGGCAGGGCTGCCAACAGGAGCCTCAGATGTGGCTTGCAGGGAGTCTGTGAGCACTGGAAGTCAAGTGGTGACATCCAGTCACCTCATAAAGCTGCCGACGAGCAGGATTCTAAGTAGGGTCAGGTTCCAGCTCTGGCAGAGCGCTGAAGCCCAACAATCAACCCTAGATCTCACACAAACAAGAGGAGACTTCCTTGCTTCTCCAGGGCGAGACATCTTCGCTCAGAGCCAGGAGGCTCAAGCTGGCCTTCTCCCCACACGGGAGAGGTTGGTGTTATGGAGCCAGTTGCTCTGGTCTGCAAAACTTAGCAACATCGTAGGAGGCTGAGATGCTCAGAGGGGTTATTGAGACAGGAGACCCTTTCTAATCTGTGCTGATGAAAAGAGTCAGCTCATGTTAATGGGTGGCAACAGCAGGCTTGGAAGTCTGGACGTCACCAGTGGCCCCTCTGCAGTCTTAAGAATGGTCTTTGGTACCAGAAGGATGCTGAGCTTGAGGCTGGGGTTAGTGGGAGGGTCAAGGGTTGCCAGGGTTGAGGGTGTGGCGGAGACTCCTTTATGCTCAGTGCACTGGGCCCACCACCAGAAACCTATTTGAAGATGCACAAGAGCAACCCCCACCCTGGCTGCCCACCCCCGTCCCAAACACACCTGAGAGATTCTGACTTAGTTTAAGGCTTTCTCTTTGATAGAGAGTAAGTCTCAGTGAGGCCATGGGTTAAACCCATTTCACCTGCCTTCACTAAGCATGGTCATTTTAAGAACCCGGGCCGCTAACATGTTTGCCTGAGTTGTTTTCTAGAAACTTGGATTCAGCTGTGTCTAGTTGGAGCTGAGTTGGTTAAGACTGGGTGGAACCGCCCTTCCTTCATCTGAGCGAGCGGAATCATGTGGTTTGCTACCTATCCTGGCCCATAGCGGAGTCATGCACGCGCAGAACAGCCATCCTCACAGCTTTTCCTCATCACCTTTCCCCATGCTCCCCGAGCAAACACTGCTGCAAATTTCAGCATCTCAGCGTTCAGGAAACAAACCTGGCTGGTGACACTGAAAGTTCTTTCTTCCCTCTCGTGCCGGGGACTTTGCATCTTGGAAGAGTTGGTGGGAGACTTTCTAAGTGAGGTTCGTATGGTGGCTGGACACCTGAGGGAAGAGGTAGGGGGTTGCCCAGGAGGTCGGGGAGCAGAGAGCAAAGGCCACAGTCTCCAGTTGCTCTCCATTGCCCTCACCGTCCATCTGAGCTGACCTAGGCCTGGC